GTCTGTTCTCCTTGAGGCCCCTGCAGAGGAGGAGCGGAGGAGCGTGCCCTGGTGGAGGCCGTGCCTTGAGGCTCCCCCTGGAGGCGCCTGGAGACAGGAACCGGGTGTGGAGCTGCAGATACTTGAGCGGGAATGAAGGAATTGCTACCCGCTTGTTCTCGGTCTGCAGTCTGGCTTTCCCTGTTTCAGTTACCCGAGGCCAGCCACAGTCTGGGACTAATACATTTCCCCAGCCATCCACATCGCAATAGCCTGATGGTCCAGGGTCACCCAACGCAGACGACCGACCTTCCTTCTGACGGGTGGTCAGAAGGTCAGTAGCAGCCTAACAGTAGTTCATAGGGCTCAGTTGGCACCTCCCTTCCCCACACTGGGATGGCATCCATCACCTCCCATCGCCACAGGGATGGGTGAGTGCGGTGGGATTTCAGGAGGGGCTCCAGTCACACAACAAATTTTTGTATATTGCTGTCATTGGTCTGTTTTACTAGTCGTTGCTAATCCCTTACCATGTCTAATTTAGGAACTTCATCAGAGGTGTGTACCTGCAGGAAAAAGAGCACATATAGCACTGGGGACCATCCACGGTTTCAGGCACCTGCTGGGAGGGGGTCTTGGACCAAGTTCTACCCCCCCCCCCAGTAAGTGGGGGCTGTCCTGCTTTTGAACAAGCACCCCCCCAAGTCTCGCAAAAGAAAAGCAGGAAATTGAAGGCCGACCCCAAGTGACCTGTGGAACCCAGAGACTTGGCTAGGAAGAGGTTTTGAAAGACTGAACAACTCAGCTAGCTTTTTAAGGCACCTCTGCCTGTCCAGCTGTAGTGGGAAGGGAGCCCCCTCCAGCCCCCCCTTCTTGTTCTGGGGTGCCCCCGATTCTGTGAGGGTATCTTCGCTCTGTCTCTCTTAGCTTGGAGTTCTGCAGCTTCTCGGGTTTCGTCGCTCATCTGTAACCTTTTCCTTTCTCTTTCTTTTTTATTTGGGTATGCTTCTGAGACTCAACTTTTAACAACTTTCCTGACTGTCCGGAACCTCATTTCTCCTTTAGCTGCGCTCGCGGCTTACCTCCGTACCTGGCTAGAGAGCGGTCCCGGCCCGCCCGCCCTCCTCCCAGTGGTGCTCCCGGGGGCTCCCCGCTCGCTCCCGGACAGCGCAGAGCTCCTGCCGAGTTGCGGGAGAGGGGGCGGCACCGCCTGCGGCCCTGCCCTGCCCGGCCCTGGGAACCCGCAGGGCCCCACCGCGCCCCCCGGCCCCCACGCCCCCGGCCCGGAGGAGAGGGGCTGGCCCACTGCCAGCGTCGGAGGGCCGGCCCCCTCCCCCGGCCCGCTCGCAGCCAACCAGGCAGTCCAGCGGGGCCCACGTGACCTGGAGTTCTAGACAAAGAAAATGTTCAAGCCCTCCCCCCCCCCACCTCCCCCCTCCCCCCTCTCTGGCCCCCCTCCGCCCCCAGCCCCATCACCCCCTTCCCCTCCCCCCAGACGGGCAGCTACTTACAGAGCTCCAGGGCCGGGGCTCACACCTGAGCCGGACCTCGGAGGGGCTGCACCTGGCCTTATGGGTAGGTTCCTGGACAGAGCCCTGGGGGGCTGGGGGCGGGAAGGCGGCAGGGCCAGCAGGGGGACCTTTGGGCCGCTGCAGCCCTCCTGGCTCAGAAGAGTCAAGTATGCCTCCCTGGCCCGAGTTCTGGAGATGCTGAGTTACTCCTGTCCTACCCACTGCCTCCTCAGGAGTCCCCAAGTCCCGCTCTTTCCTGTGCTCAGGTGGGACCTGGCTGGTCAGGGGCCAGGGAGAGCAGCCCTGCCCTGAGCTAAGGACAGCGGTCAGCGAGGGCTGGGGAGCAGGCCCTGGGCAGGGGTGCTGGGAGCCCAGGAGTTGGGCTGGAAGCAGCACTTTTGCTGAGCTGGCTGGCAGCTGGGTTGTCGGCATTTCCGTGTTGACCTGTGTTCTGGCTGGTGGACCATGCTGTCCTCAGGCTGTGCCAACCTTGTGGCCTCTTGAGAGGGAGAGTTTTCTCTCCTGCGTGTCCCCGGAAGCCGCCAGGCAGGCCACCAGGAAGAAGTGGTGCTGGGGATGGAGGGAGCAGTGCAGCCCTGACAGGGGCCGTGGCTCATCAGCGGGAGCCTGGGGCGGGGGGCAGCCTGTGATGGGAGAGGCGCCTGGGACAGCCCAGGGTCCATTGCACCAGTGGGGAGTCCGCGTGGGTGTCCAGACCTCTGACCTTTGGAACAGGAAGCGGCCTGAGTGCAGAGGGAGGTGGAAGTGGGACCGGACAGGGAGGCCCGGCCTCCACCAGAGCGGCGTTACCAGTGGCTTTCCAGGCTGGACAAACTCCAGGCAAAGTGGCTTCCCTGAGCCGCAGTGGTGGAGGGGGGTGGTGTCGTGTCTCCCTGATCCCGGCCCATCTCTGGGCCACTCTGGAGTGCTGTCTTCTGACCTGGGGGTATAGGAGCCGTTAGCCCCAATGCCAAGGCCGAGTTAACCCTTCTGTCTCCCATTGTTTGCTCGGGAGGAGGGTGAGAGTGTACGGAGGAGCGCAGACCGGCATTCCCTCACTACCCTCGGCAGACTCCTCTGGCGAGGGGGCCCCTCCCCCACCCAGCCGCCGTCCTTGCCCCTTCCTCCCCTTTCTCTTGCCTCCTGCTGCTAACCCACCTCTTCTTCCTCCCCCCACCCCTGCTGGCCTTGTCACGACGGAGGCCCCCTTCCTCCACCTCCGTCTGCCCAAAACTGTTTCGTCTGCCAATGACTGTTTTGGGTGCGTGCTCTCCTGCACCTAGTGGGTTGGCTGTACTTAATAGCCGTCAGCAGCAGCAGCATCTGACAAGCAGGAGGAAGTTGTGGGGGAAGACTAATGTTCAGGAACTGGCTGTGGAGGGGTGGGGGAGAGAGACAAAAGGGCTGTGGGGGAGGACGGAGGTGGGGGGTGGGGGGTGGTGTCAGGCACGACTGGATCCTGGGCCGGGGGCACCCAGCGCCCACCCACTGCCGCTGGCTGCGGACGTGACTAAGGCTCCTTTCCTTAGGAGGCCCTTTTCTCTCTCCTGCCCGCTGCTGACTGCACCCCTGGTTCTGGCCGAGGGGCCTCGTGGCTTCCGATGGGGTCTTTGGGACATTCGAGGCGGCACCCGGGTCTCGGTCGGTCATCAGAACTGGTGGTGGAAGCGGCAGGGTGGAGGGGAGGGGGCGGAAACAGCCGGGCGTGCCGATTATCCGCCCGGGTCAGTGTGCTGGGCTGGGGCTGCCCCAGCCGATGCGAGAATCTGCCTCCCCCCTAGGGTTCCGTGCCTGCCTACCTACTACCTACTATCTACCTAGGCGGCCCACCTCCTCGTGGGGGAGGAGGCGGTGGGGAACTGATAGTAGGAAGGGGAGGGCAAAGTCCTGGCAGGTAAGAGTGGGGCTCGGCTGGGAGGAGCAATCACTACGCAGCTTCCACCTCATCCTCCCAGCTGTTTGTGGGCTGGGGCAGGGGGTGAATTGTCCCATTTTAGAACTAGTTGAGTCAGAGAAAGAACCAGGACTTCCATCCTTGATGTTTTAGGAATTGCTACGGGAAACCGATTGGTCCCGCGCAACAAAGACTTAAAGAATGAATGAAATGAATTTACGAGAGAGTAGTCTATTGAGTTTAAACCCAAGTTTCTTTAACCTGGCACTCTGGGATCCGGGGGGGTCCATTCACAGGCTTGGGATCATCCTCAAAAGTCTCTATCACACACACACATCAGATCCTTCTACCTCGGAAAAGGTTAGCAGAAATCCTTCGCTCAAATGCCATTTTAGGTCAGAGCAACTCAGCAGAGAAGGGGCTGCTCCAAAGTCAGCTACTCGTGCTTGTGCGTCGCAAAGCTAAGCCGGGGAGGGAGATGCTCTGACTTGCACCTGAGAACCCCTGCACTCCAGGGTGCTTTCCGATGCTCTGTTTCCATCTGCAGGATGGGCGTGCACCCTCAGCGCTGAGCTCTGGGGGGAAGTCTCCTGTTCAACGGCATGTCGAGGGTGGGATTTTCTCTCTCTGAGTCTGGTGTGGTGGAAACGGGTGCAGGGCCTTGCAGTTTGGGGACCGCACGTTCTCGATTCAGTAGCCGGGAGAGATGGGGAGGAACAGTCCTCAGAGCTAAGTACCGGGGATTTCTCGGTTGTCTGTGGGAGGATGGGAATATCTTGGAGTGGGGTGTGAGGAGGAATGGAGGGGCCTGGACGGGCCTGTGGGGCAGAGGCTGAAACCGGAGGCGGGAGATGCTGTCCTGCTGCGACAGTGCTGGGACCCGGGCGAGCTTGGGGTGGCCGAGAGGATGTCTGTGCTCCGGAAGCAGTTGTTGCGAGAATAATGTATGTATGCACGGATCTGAGAGGTTAGCAGATTCACCCCTTCCTGCTCTGTGCGCCTTTCCGCACGGCGCGAGCAGGCAAGCTCTTGCGGGGCGTTTCTGCGGTGTTTGGGCAGACGGGGAAGGAGGCAAACTCTAAACACACAGCAGTGGTTTTCATCACCAGTAAACATCACAACAAAACCGGGACGGCGGTCGGTCTGGAAACCACGTAGATGTTCCTGATTGCCCAGGAGAATTGTGGGAAACGGATGAGAGGATCCAGTTTTTGGTTGGGAGATGAGGAGAGGGTGGAGCCAAGGACGGTGCCTGAGTGAGGGTGCACAGATTCGGGTCGACTGGAATTAACCTTCCCGTGTCCGCAGGGGGAGGGGGGGGGAACAAGTGCTCGTGGCGACAGGTTGGGAAAGATGAGACCGGGGAGCGAGGTGTCCCCAAGAGGCGGGAGAGAAGGCCAGAAGTGAGCCAGGCAATTGGCGTCCACCTCTCACCTTCAAGTCTCTCTGTTTTCGTGGCAGGCCAGGTGCGTTGATGAGGGAAGAACTCTCTCCAGCCCTGTACCTCCCGTCACTGTCTGCAGACCCCAGAGAGATTGCGGAGAGCACCCTAAGTTTGAGGTGGCCTTGCTGACTCCCGGAGAGGTCAAGGTAACTTCTGTCCCTTGTTCCCCCAGGCTGAGAAGAAAGCCAAGGTGATCGCAGTGATGAACGCCGTGGAGGAGAACCAGGGGTCTGGCGACCCTCAGAAGGTGGAGGAGGCCAGCCCTCCTGCGGTGCAGCAGCCCACCGACCCCGCGTCCCCCACTGTGGCCACCACGCCCGAGCCCGTGGGGGCTGACACCGGGGACAAGAACGCCACCAAAGCAGCCGATGACGAACCAGAGTACGAGGTGAGCGGCTCGCTTCCTCCTCCGCCTCGACCAGCTCTGTCTCGGGTCCTTCCACTGCCAGCTCCTCCCGGCCTGCGCTCCTCTCTCCACCTGGTCCCAGGCCTCTGTGTCTCCCCGCTGTCGCTCTGTTTTGGTCCATTCACATGGAGCTCCCCGCTGGCTGTCCTGACCCTCAGATGCCCAGGGCTGGGGTTGCCGTGGGGAGGGTCCGGGGGGCAGGGCCTCGTGACCGCTGTGTAATAACTTGTGCTCCTTGGGGCTCCAGGACGGCCGGGGCTTTGGCATTGGGGAGCTGGTGTGGGGGAAACTGCGGGGCTTCTCCTGGTGGCCAGGCCGCATTGTGTCTTGGTGGATGACGGGCCGGAGTCGCGCCGCCGAAGGCACCCGCTGGGTCATGTGGTTCGGAGACGGCAAGTTCTCGGTGGTGAGTCCCGGGGTTTGGCGGTAGCCTGGGGGAGGAAGGGGTCTCAGTCCCAGGGCCTACAGTTTGGGCTGGCGGCTCGGTCTGGCACGGGGGCGGTAGTGGTGGGTTCTGCTTGCCCCCACTCTGTGCGTGTGAATGAAAGAAGCCCGGGAGATAAGTAGGTTGCACTTACTCAGAGAGCTAGCATAGCTGCCGAGTTGTGGCCTTTGGGAACCCCTTGCCCAGAATTCCGTGCGTTCAGTGCATCCTCACTTGCATGCAGGTCCTTTGTGTCATGTAATTACTTATTGATGCATCGGGTTCTCTCAAGGACGGGGGCCAGGTCCTGATGCCCCCAGCCCCTGCCAGTAGCCAGTAGCCAGGCAGGTGGGGGGTGCTCGATGAGCGTGAGGGAGGAAAACGAGGGTGGCGGTTGTCCCTCCAGGTGTGTGTTGAAAAGCTGATGCCGCTGAGCTCCTTCTGCAGTGCTTTCCACCAGGCCACCTACAACAAGCAGCCCATGTACCGCAAGGCCATCTACGAAGTCCTGCAGGTGGGTGCCCTGTGCGGGGCTCAGACCGCCTGCTGGCCTGGGGGCCAGAGTGTCCACTTTAATCCAGAGCACAGGGTCCACCTGCCGGGCCCTGTGGACTCCTTTTGTCCCCACCTTACTCGCCCCCTTTCTGCCCTCCTCTGACGGCCCCCCCCCCCCCCCGCCACGGTCTTCCCCTTCCCTGCCCCTTCGCTGCTGGGAGTCTGCCCTCCGGCCTGACACCCACCCCCACACCTGTGGTCCTCCAGGTGGCCAGCAGCCGGGCCGGGAAGCTGTTTCCAGTGTGCCATGACAACGACGAGAGCGACACTGCCAAGGCCGTGGAGGTGCAGAACAAACAGATGATCGAGTGGGCCCTCGGGGGGTTCCAGCCCTCAGGCCCCAAGGGCCTGGAGCCACCAGAAGGTAAACGCGGGGGCCCAGCCCAGCCTTCTGGGATCCCTGCCAGCCAGGCCCGGCAAAGCTGTGCCTGGGGAGAGCAGCCAAGGCCTCCATCCAGGGGCCACGGGTTCCCTCCTCTGGGGTCAAGGTAGGGGCAGCACTGCTCTGGGACTCAGAATGGCCTGCTCCCCACTGGCCTGGGGGCACCAGAGAAGGGGGAGCAAGGAACAAGTGGGGGACCAGGCTTCCCCTGTTGTAGGTAGAATCGGGGAAGGAGGGGGAGCTGGGATTCCTGGTCAACTGGTAAGCGTGACCTCATTGCCTGCTTCTCCCGTCCAGAGGAGAAGAACCCCTACAAAGAAGTTTACACAGACATGTGGGTCGAACCTGAGGCAGCTGCCTATGCACCACCCCCACCAGCCAAAAAGCCCCGAAAGAGCACAACGGAGAAGCCCAAGGTCAAGGAGATTATCGACGAACGCACAAGAGGTAGTTGGCCCAGCTCTGGAGAGAGTGGCGCGGCGAGGCCGGCACTCAGAGGCGTGGGCACGGCCCTCGTGGCCGCCTCTGATGCTGGCTTCCCTCCCCTCCGCAGAGCGGCTGGTGTACGAGGTGCGGCAGAAGTGCCGGAACATCGAGGGTGAGTCCTGCGGGGACAGCTGGGCAGCCGGGGGTCTCTGCCCCTGGGCCAGGCAGGTGGGCTTCCTGGTGCAGAGGCACAGCTACTTAGGAAAGTTTGAGTGATGGGGACATCAGTGCTCAGTGACAGAGTCTGCTCTGTGTGTCCCACCACGGCCAGCCTATTTCTCTCTCTCTCACACACACACACACACACACACACACACACACACACACACCTGTTTTCAGGTGCCATAATCTTGCCTTCCTGTCCATGTCATGGGCTGGTCATTAGGGTTTGGAGCACTCCAGTGGGTCACAGAGGGTGGCCTATCTTGGATTTTATTGAATTTGCCTGAACTCGACCTTTTGGCCTTTCACCTCTCATCCCCATATTTCATCCCGTGGTCATTATGAGCACCGCAGGTCTGCCTCCCTTGGCCTAGTGATGGCATGTCCGGCTTGGGGACCCTCAGGCGTGGGCAGGATGGGGCGGGGGCCCAAGGACTGTCTCCAGAGTCACCCTGAGGCAGGGCCCTGTTCTCGTTGGTGGGTTCCTGCCCTGTCCGACGCTGCTCCTGGCTGGTGCTCTGAGAGGTGACTGGGCTTCTGAGACGGGGGCCCCAGCGCCTCCCTGTTCTATGGGGCACCCCCCAGACTCCTCTCTGCCTTACTTTTTGGCTGCTGCTCCGGCATGCCCCTTTTTTGTAGCTTTTCTGGTGCGGCTTTGGTCCTACGTGAGGGTGACCCTGTGGGGACATTCACTCCACTTTCTTTGTTCCCTAGACATTTGCATCTCTTGTGGGAGCCTCAACGTGACCCTCGAACACCCTCTCTTCATTGGAGGAATGTGCCAAAACTGCAAGGTAGGGTCGTGGGGCGCGCCCCTTGCGTGGCCCCTGGATGAGCCCCGTGGAGTGGAACAGGCCTTTGGGCTTCGGGCATTGGAGCTGCCACTCGTTTTCCTCCTGGAGGATTCTTCCCCCTCTGAAGCCCGTGCTAGTCCCCAGGTGGACATCGGTCACCGGTGTGAAGTGGGGGCAGCTCAGGCTGACCCGGCGGGTGGGTTTCTGTGCTCTCGGGGCCAGGAGAAAACCCAGGGCTGCTGCAAGGGGCAAAGGGCGCAGCTCCCTCCCTGGCCTTCCCTGAGGCTTCCTGGTACCGTCCACCACCGGGGTCATCCACCGCCGGGGTCGGGAGGACTGCTGTCCCCTCCCCCGATCTGTGGCTCAGGTTGGACCCTGGTTGGATGGGTGGTCCAGGGCTGGGTCAAGGTCCCGAGGTGAGAGCCCCCGGCTGGCTTCAGCCGGCCTCCGCCCCGCTGCCCGGGGTCCCGCCCGGGGCCTGACACCCCCCTGCTCCCCAGAACTGCTTCCTGGAGTGCGCGTACCAGTACGACGACGACGGCTACCAGTCCTACTGCACCATCTGCTGCGGGGGGCGCGAGGTGCTCATGTGCGGGAACAACAACTGCTGCAGGTGAGCCGCCCCGCCTCGGCCCCCCCCCGCCACCCCGCCCGGCCCCAGCTGCGTGCCGTCCAGGACTGCCTGGGGCTGAGGGTCCCGCCGCCACCCTGGGCTTCCTTCCAGGTGCTTCTGCGTGGAGTGCGTGGATCTCCTGGTGGGGCCAGGGGCCGCCCAGGCAGCCATCAAGGAAGACCCTTGGAACTGCTACATGTGCGGGCACAAGGGCACCTACGGGCTGCTGCGGCGGCGGGAGGACTGGCCCTCCCGGCTGCAGATGTTCTTCGCCAACAACCACGACCAGGAATTTGTGAGTGCGGGGCCTAGGGCCTGCTCTGGGGCGCTCTGCCGTGGAGGGCGGGCTCAGCTGAAGCAGCCGCGCTTTGGCTGGTCCCGGGGCCGGGCGGTGAGCCGAGGTGCCCGGGGCCGCACGCCGGCCGGGCAGGGCTGGGGGCCGACCGCGCTTCCGGTTGGCTGGGGGGGCGGCCCTGCGCGCGGAGCCGGAGCGGGCACACGGGCCTGGGCGCTCACCGGCCGGCTGGTGGTGTGCTCCCTGCCTAGGACCCTCCGAAGGTCTACCCACCTGTCCCAGCCGAGAAGAGGAAGCCCATCCGGGTGCTGTCTCTATTTGACGGGATCGCCACAGGTGAGGGCGGCACCGGCGTCCCCGGGCTGGGTGGGGCGTGCAGCTCTGCGTGTTCTCGCGCGGGCGGAACGGAACTGGAGTGAGGGTTGCCGCTGTTAAAGCGTCGCCCTGGAGGAGGAACTTTGGGTTCGAGGAAACGTGATGTGGATGGTGACGTGGATGGTGACCCGGCGTGTCCAGTGGGCACTCTTCTTAACGGCAGAGGCTTTCCCACGGAGGGGGGGGGCGGCGCCTGCTAGTCAGAGATGATATTGACGCTGTTCACAAACCTCAAAGGACGGGCGGGCAACCAAAACAAAAACAAGAGCAAAGAACGTTTAGATCGCCCATAATCCGGTAATTAGTGTTTTGGTGCATGTCGTTTTAGGTTTTTTTTGGTGTGCGCATAGACATACGTTTGTTTACATAATCACATGTAGATAAAACAAAAGGGTGGTAAGATGGGTAGTGTTTAAACTTGCCTTTTTATTTATAATACCGGGACTCTCTCATATCAATCAGCATAGAACTACATTTTTTGTTTGTCAGCGCTTCGTGGGGTTCCACTGAGCGAAAGTTCCGTGATCTATTCCGTCCTCCGCTGGGTCGTGCACCGTCTTCTCCGCTGTTGAGCGCGGTGCTCTGACGAGCCTCCCGGCACGCACGTCGCCGCAGGCCGAAGAAGCCGGCGTCCTTTAGGGAGCGCTGGGTCACCCCCCGGGCAGGTGCTGTTTTTCCCGTGGGCCGGAAGGCCCTCGATGAGCGTGGTGTGACATTGTCTGCCCCTCCGGCCTGCTCCCAGGCTGGGGGCGTCTCACTTTCTTGGAAAGGAGTAGCCCTCCTCAGGACTGGCCTGCACGTGACCAGAAGGGGAGGGACAGTCTAAGCCCAGGGACCTTGGCCAAAGAGCCAGTGTCGGGGTGGCACCCCAGGCTGGACAGTGGTCTTGCCTGCAGCTCAGCACTGGTGCTCTGTGCAGCTGTGGCTTCCAGGCCGGAGCCGGGGGCCTCCTTAAGCTACGTCGCACTTTAGTGGGCCTCAGGCACTCCTGGTGGGGGGGGTCTGTCAGGAGCGCTGGGAGTGGCCCCACCGTAGCCTCTTCCTCCTGGCGCTCTCGGGCCTGTTCTGGTTGTGTCCTCAGTCGGCAGGCGTTTGTGGAGGGATCGTGCTGAGGGAGTGAGTGTAGGTAGCTCAGGAGGAAACCCGTGGACGAGGCTCCGTGCTCTGTCTGGGAGACCACAGGGAGCCCGAGGGAAAGGCCGTGTTGGGAATCTGCTGCTCTGCGTTTGCAGAGTGGGTGCGAAGTGCTGGGGGCTCCCTGGGGAGGGCAGTGGTTCCGGGAGGCGGCACTGGGGGGGAGCCTTTTCAGAGCAGGCGGCGTCTGGGTTGAGTCTAGAGGGGTGGGTGGGAAGGCAGCAGGGCACGCTGTTTTGGGGAGAGGAGCGGGAAGGACAGACCAGCATGTGTGTGAGATGGAGAAACAGGAAAGAAGGGGCCGCCTGAACACTAGCTGCTGTCCTTCCTGGGACGACACGCTGGACCCTGAAACCACACGCTGTCCAGTCTGTCTGTTCTGGCTCCTGCCGCCTTTGCAATGGATCAGACGAGACAGGGAACGGCCTCGATGTCCCCGTTATAGTTGTTCCAGTTGGTGCAGGAAGATGTAAAGCAGCATGCTGGGCAGGGCGGGGCTCGGGCCTGTGGCTGACCAGCGTGTCCCGCTGGCCAGAGGGCTCTCCTAGAAAGACCAGGGTGCCGGAGGCGACCCAGTGACCGTGTTCTTTGCCGGCCGGCGCAGGGCTCCTGGTGCTGAAGGACTTGGGCATTCAGGTGGACCGCTACATCGCCTCGGAGGTGTGCGAGGACTCCATCACGGTGGGCATGGTGCGGCACCAGGGGAAGATCATGTACGTCGGCGACGTCCGCAGCGTCACGCAGAAGCATGTATGTCCGTGCCGCGGGCTGTCCCGCCGCCTCCGTGCCGCTGGCGCCCAGCCCCCGGGGGCAGCGCCAGCCCCCTTGCATTCTGTTCGTGTGTTCTGCTCCTTTCCCCGTTTGCCCCCCCCCCCCCCCCGGCCTCTCTCCCTCCTCCCCGTCCACTCTCCTCCTCGTCTCCAGGGTGATGGGCAGAGTGCAATGGGAACTGGGGAGCTGACCTTTTGGGGCTCCGGCTGCCCCCTGGCTAGTTTCAGGGCCCTTGTTAGGTGAGTGCTTAGGATTGCAGTGAGGGGCCTGTCCTGATCCGTCGGGGACAGCGTCACCAGCCTCCGTTTCTCAGGGTTGCTGGGGGGTCTTTGCCCTCCCGGTCACCTGTGTCTACCCCTGAAACCACAAGCCCTCAGGAATGCTGAAGGGCGTTCATTTGGCGGGCGTTCAGATCCCAAAGGGCGCCAAGCGCCGAGTGCCTTCTGTCCAGCTGTGTGGCCGGGACCGCCTTCTCCCCGAGGGGCTGCTTTTCCCGCGGGGGGCACGCCGGCTTCCCTGCTGGCCTCCGATCACCCAGTCTGGTCCCTTTGCCTTGTCGTTTGGGAAACTGAGCCCAGAGGCCTCAGCGACTGGCCTGTGGCTGCACAGTGTGTGTGTGCGTGTACCTAGTGCGTGTGTGTGTGTGGTGAGCGTGCAAAGCAGCTAGGTCTCCTCTCCCCATGTCCAAGTACGTTTTTTGCCACGTTCATGGATATTTCTGTCCTGCTCTCTGCCTCTGTCCCCGGACATCAGCCCCATCACGTTACCTTTATCCCCCAGATCCAGGAGTGGGGCCCGTTTGATCTGGTGATTGGGGGCAGCCCGTGCAATGACCTCTCCATCGTCAACCCCGCCCGCAAGGGACTCTACGGTAGGTGCTGGCTCGCCCTGCCCCTTCTCTGCCGGTGCTCCCGCGTGTAGGTTTCCCGCTGGGTTACCCGGCCCTGGGGCGGCCCCTCCCAGCACCCCTGCCCTCCTTCCCCCTCCCTGTGCCCAAGCTGCACCACTGTCTCTGCGGACAGCCCCGCTGACAGCTTTCTCTTCCGCCTCTCAGAGGGCACGGGCCGGCTCTTCTTTGAGTTCTACCGCCTCCTGCACGATGCGCGGCCCAAGGAGGGAGATGACCGCCCCTTCTTCTGGCTCTTTGAGAATGTGGTGGCCATGGGCGTTAGTGACAAGAGGGACATCTCGCGATTTCTCGAGGTATAGCCGGCCCCTGGTTCGGCCAGCTCACTAATGACTTGTGCCTTGGACCGCCGCTTTATCCCTGTCTCGTCTGCACTGTGGAGCTGGGGGCGGGGGGCTTCTGCTTTGCGAGGGGCCCGTTTGAGAAGCTCAGAGGGCTTCCGAGTTAGCCAGGGAGGAGAGCAGCATTAGAGGCCCACCCCGGAAGAGCTCATGGTCTCCCTCTAAGAGGGGTACGTGGCTGTGGGCCCCAGGACTCGAGGCCCTGACTGTTAAAGAGGGGTGCCCCCTCCTGGGGCTGGGCTGCTGGGTGGTGTTTCACTAGGGGGACCTCAGAGAGGCCTAAATAGATGGCTGTCCTCACTCCTCGGCAACCATGACAGGTGCTCTATGTCACCTAGGGAGAAAACACAGCTCATCTCATAATGTGGGTCCTAACTCAGCTCTGAGCCGGGTTCAAGCCCTGCGCAGAGGGTTTCTGCTGCCAGAGGCACTTTGGGGGCGGGCGGTCCGGGAGCTCAGCCCATGCACCCGAGTCCTGGGATCAGTGGCCCTCGGGCTGCTGTTCTGGCTGTCCGTGCAGGCAGCTGTCTGGCCGGCTCACAATCTGGGTGCACGGGGAGGGTGTGCACACGTGGGGGCTGGCTCTCTCAACGCCTCTCTGGTGAGACAGGGCCTTGGGGTCCTGTGGCCGTCGGCCCCAGGTGGTATTTGAGTAAAGGTTAAAATTCCTCAGTCACACTAGCCCCGTTTCGGGGCCTCGTTAGCCCCCTGCCGCTGATGCGGTAGTGGCTGCTGCAGCGGACAGTGCAGATCGAGCACATTCCTGTCCCCGTAGTGTGTGCACTTGGTCGGTGCAGGTCTGGAAAGCCCCAGTAAGAGCAAGTGCAGTGAGTGAGGTGAGGGCTCCTCCTGGCGTCCTCTGGAGGCATCAGGCCACCCGGTCCGTGGCCCTCAGAGCAGTCGGAGCCTCCGAGGCTGCAGGGCTGTAACTAGCAGGACTTCCTGGCACGAGTGGACGCCCCCCTCTCACTCACCGCTGATCTCCCTGCTGTTTTCCAGTCCAACCCTGTGATGATTGATGCCAAAGAAGTGTCAGCTGCGCACAGGGCCCGCTACTTCTGGGGGAACCTTCCTGGTATGAACAGGTGGGTGATGGCACCCGGGCCTGGGGTGGCTGCGGGGGGCGGGGCGTGTCTGCCGGCAGGACGGCCCGGCCGCGGGGTCAGGGGTCCCTGGGTGGCCCTCTCGGCCATCCGCTGGCTGACCGGCCTGCTGCTCGGCTGTGCCCTTCGTTTCCTTCTCGAGGAAGGAGGGGCGTCAGGGTTGGGTTATACTTGCCTGAGAAACCAGCAACTGGCGGTCGAGAGCAAGGCGTTTAGAAGCGCGCCGTCCGCACAGAAGAAGAGTCGACCTGCCGCTGAGCTGGTCAGGGAGTCGGTTCCCCGGTGCTGGCGGTGGAGGTGGAGTCAGCTGGTCTTCGTCCCCCGAGGCCGTCGCGGGGGCCGGGGCTGGGGGTGGGGGAGCGGTGCCCGTGGCTCAGCCGCACGCTGGTCCAGGAGAGGGGGTCTTGAGGCAGCGGCATGCAGGGCAGAGGTTCTGACTTCACTCGTCCACACTCAGTTGGCTGCAGGTCTTTGGAAGGATGCTCTTCATTTAAGGAACACAGGTAGAGATTTGGACGTTGAGGAATGAAGAACATTTCATTTCTTCAGTGCAATAATTGCAGTATAAAAAAAGGCCTGTGAGAACAGCGGAATTCTGGTCGAAAGGGGGCAGCTCAAAAGCAGAGTGAGGTCTGCCCCCTCTAGGTCTCTCCTATGGAGGGAAGTGTCTTCCAGAATGTTCTGAGTGTGGATTTGACACCCCCTGGGCGGTACGTACCTGGAAAGGGGACGCCTCCGCCTCCCTGGCCTCCGTTCTCTCCTCTCCTGCTTGGCCGTCAGCGCCAAGTTGTGGGAACTTGCCCAGGCTCGTGCCCGTTCGGCAAGGCTGCTGCCTCTGGGGAGGGCTTGCTGACGGGAGGGAGCGGGGTCAGCGGGGCAGCTGACCCACAGACTCGCAGTGTGCCCCCGAGGTTCCCGAGGTGGGCGTGTGCATTGGAAAAGCGGGCTGGCTTATTCCGTCCAGTGCTCTCGTGAAGCCGGACTCGGGGTCTCCCGCCAGTCCTTGGTCCCAGACAGCAATTCCCATCTGCTTCTTGCAGCTCTAAAGTTCTAGAACCCTGAGCTTCCAGCAGGGGGTACCAGGGGGGGCCAGGAGAGTCGTATGTGTGTACATGCGTGTGTATGCACGGATGGAGAGGAGCCCAGAGCTCGGGTCCCTGGGCTGCCACACGCAGGGGGCGGGCCTGTCTGTGAAACGTTCACCAGGTGTTTCTCAGTTGCGGGGAAAGGCCCCTCCGAAGGGCGTCCGGCCTGCCCTCTGGAGAGGGACACACTTAGTGTCAGAGAGTTTCAGTTCTCAGGGGCCGCAGAATTCCTCTCTTTACCTGTCCGCTTAAGGGGGACAGTTTGTTGCATTTTATCCAGTGTGCACACCCTTGTAACTGTCACCGTAATCGAGATACACTCTATCGAGATACATTCTGTCACCCCCAGAGTTTGCTCGGTGGTGATGGATACTTTCGAAACTTTTAAATCTGATTAAAAATATTTGGGTTTTCCCCTTCCGGGCAGGTGTTGTCTGCTTGTTTGTAGTTTGAGACCCCCTCCGTGTGAACTCCCTCCAAGGGTGATTGCTGCTGGGTCTGGGCCCAGGGATGGCTGCTGCGTGTGCGCACGTGTTCGGGGGGCGTTGGAGGGGCTGATGACATGCGTGGGAGACAGGACCCCCTTTTGTTGGCATGCGTGAGTCAGGCAGCAGGCGCAGCACGGCCAGGCGTGCCCCTGCTCTTCTCCTGGTTTCCGCCGTCACCTTCTCTTTTCTGCCTCCCAGGCCGTTGGCGTCCACTGTGAACGATAAGCTGGAGCTGCAGGAGTGCCTGGAGCACGGCAGAATAGCCAAGGTTAGCCCGGCCCCAGAGCCCTCTGCGGGGTGGGGGGTGCGGGGAGGGGGCAGAGGGCAGGACCTCGGGCTCTGGGTGCACCTGGCGTGGGGGGTGTGATTTTGGAGGCCATGTGGGCCGTTCACACAGTCGACCGCAGGAGGGGATCCAGAAAAAGGGTGGTTGGGAGGGTAGGGAGAAAGATCAGAAGTCATTGCTGCCCTGGCTGGTGTGGCTCAGTGGATTGAGTGCCAGCCTGTGAATCAAAGGGTCACCAGTTTGATTCCCAGTCAGAGCACTTGCCTGGGTTGTGGGCCAGGTCCCTGGTTGGGGGCAGGTACAAAGCAACCCATCGATGTATTTCTCACACATCGATGTTTCTCTCCTAGTCTTTCTCCCTCCCTTCCCCTTTCTCTAAAAATAAATAAATAAAATCTTAAGCCAAGAAGTCACTGCTGGCCTTCAGCCCTCCCTTGCTAAGCATCGCTTGCTGTCCCACGGGAGGCAGACACTGAGAAACCTTTGCCCAGGTCCCTAGAGCTGCTCGGGCCTCTTTTTGGCCGGCACCTGTGGCTTGAGCCTCCGCATCAGAGATTCCCCTGTGACGTGGCAGCGCCACCTCCCTGGAGAATCCCCCGAGTGAGTGCACCAGGCACCAGGCTCTGAGGGCAGGTGCCAGCGAGTGCGCCTTCGAGCCTGAGTGGCTGGGCATCTTTCTGCCTGTAAACCACTGGGGAAAGCAGTTCTTAGAAGGCTCAGGAAGGACAGTGGTTTAAACTGCTGTACCCCAGGTCCTTGGCCAGCAGGAATGGATGAAGGATGCTGGGTAACCTCAGACTAGGAAGGAGGAGCAAGGCGGCAGGGTCTGCGGAGGCTCATGACTGGGGCCCTCCCCGGCACCCCGGATGCACCGGGCCTGTGCAGGGTTGGACTCACCAGCCCCTGGCGAGCGCCTGGTGCACGTGGTGCAGGCGTGACCAGGGAATGAGCGCTCATCCCTCTCTCCTCATCTTCTAGTTCAGCAAAGTGAGGACCATTACTACTAGGTCGAACTCCATAAAGCAGGGCAAAGACCAGCATTTCCCCGTCTTCATGAACGAGAAAGAGGACATCTTATGGTGCACTGAAATGGAAAGGTACCCGAGGCCGTGGGCTGGCGTCCCAGGGTGTGTGGTGTGTTCTCACTGCTCTTCTTGTCGGGGGGGGGGGGAGGGGCAGGGGGGGCCTTGTCTCTCCCAGCCAGGCCAGTGTCTTCCACAGGCGCCGTGTGAGCAGCGGGTTTTCCCAGGCATCTCCCGGCATGGCATCTAGGAACCAGTCAGTCCACGAGGCCTCGGCTCCCAGAGGCCCTGCTGCATGCCAGGAAAACACGGCAGCTCCAGGAGCTTCCTGACCTGGTGCTGCTCCTTTTACGGACCTGCCAAGCAGGACAGCACAGGGCCAGCGGGGCCCTCCAGCCTGAGTGCCTGGACTTGGTGCAAACTGGACTCGCAGACAGATGCCTTTCTCTGTGTCCCTGTGACTTAGCCAGACAGAGACTATCTGTACAAACAACCAGAACAAAGGGGGACCCCTTTGGAGGTTCCCCCCTTCTTGAGGGGAGACAGTAGGATCAGGAGGGGAAGGCACAGGTGGAGTGGTTATCTACAGACTTGGGTTACCCACCGTGGCCCTGAACCTCAGGCGGGGCCTGCCCCGGGGGCGCTCTTCGCCAGCACCAGCTCTGCTTCTGCCTGCGTGGCAGGTCCCCAGGCCGTGGTTGTCTTACCTGCCTCAGACCTGCAGAGAGCACTGGGGCGCCCGAGCCGAGGCCCGCGCCCCGGCGCTCACCCGTGCCCCTCTCTGCCTTCCCTCCCCAGGGTGTTTGGCTTCCCTGTCCACTATACCGACGTCTCCAACATGAGCCGCTTGGCGAGGCAGAGACTGCTCGGCCGGTCGTGGAGCGTGCCGGTCATCCGCCACCTCTTCGCTCCGCTGAAGGAATACTTTGCTTGTGTGTAAGGGACGCGAGGGCAAACTCAGCTAGTGACAGAGTCAAACAGACAAACAAAAATCACAAAACACAACAAAACACCAAGAACGTGAGGACGGAGAGAAGTAGCAGCACCCAGAAGAGACAAAGGAATTTCACAACCACAGAGGCGGAGAGACCGGAGGGCTTTGCCTTGTGGAAAGGGTTGGACATCATCTCCTGATTTTTCAATGTTAACCTTGAGTCCTATTTAAAAACGAAACCGAGTTCCCTCCCCGCCCCGGCCCACCTTTCTCGGTCAAACCTTTTATTTTCTACTCTTTTTTTTTTTTTTTTTCAGAGGGGTTTTCTGTTCGTTTGGGTTTTTGTTTCTTGCTGTGACTGAAACAAGAGGGATTTTATTGCAGCAAAAAATCAATAACAAAAAAAAATAGTAACAATACCTTGCAGAGGAAAGATAAAGAAAGAGAGATGGGGGGGAAAAAAGGAAATTCTATAGAAATCTATATATTGGTATTGGATTTTTTTTTTCTTTACTATATATCTTTTCTGTTGTTGTTGTCTCTAGCCTGATCAGATAGGAGCACAAGCAGGGGACAGAGGACAGAGAGACACTGAGGAGGCAGAGCTCCCTCCCAGCCCCTGAGCTGTCTTGCCAGCACCATTCCTGGCCATGCAAAACAGAGCCCAGCCAGCAGCAGGGAGACGAGAACACCACACAAGACCCTTTTATACAGTATTTCAGGTGCCTACCACACAGGAAATCTTGAAGAAAATCAGTTCCTAGAAGCCGCTGTTACCTCTTGTTTACAGTTTATATATATATGATAGATATGAGCTATATATATAAAAGGTACTGTTAACTACTGTACAACCTGACTTCATAATGGTGCTTTCAAACAGCGAGATGAGTAAAAACATCAGCTTCCACGTTGCCTTATGTGCAAAGGGTTTTAACCAAGGATGGAGAGAGGGAGATAGCTCAGAGGGGGGAATCGTCATCAAGGTGGGCTTTTGCACCCCCCTTGGTGTTCAGCGGGGTGAAGGAGAATTTGGGAACAGCGCTTTCCCGCTTCTCCCTGCCAAAAAGTGGGGGGCGGGGCGGAGGTGAGGTGGCCGGGACCGTGGACAGCTGAGAGCGGGATTCATCCAGGATCACGCAATAAACCTTTTGATTTATTTCTGCTTTCAAAAAAAAAAAAGGAGACTCCCTCAGCAAGGTGGCAGGAGGAGGGGTCTTCATTCCAAGTTTCTCACATTAGCCGATTCGAGGGCTCCTCGTGGTGGGATCAGAAGTAATCCAGAGTGAGGGCAGTGACCGTTCAAACCCCACCTGGAGCAAATAAAAAAACATACAAAACGTACTGGTGCTTTCCTGTCTAAAGTCGCCTTTTGTGTGTTCTTTTATGAGGCCCCACCATCCACCCTCTGCGCACAAGGTGGCTGCTGGCCCTGGAATGTGATGTTTTTGGTCATCTCCAAAGGCTGCAGTTTTATACTGGGAGGCTGATGACACCTTTTGTTATCCTTACTCTTATGGTTCTGGTTACAGTTATGTTTGTTTTCAGATTTTTCGTTCAGAACACAGAAACCCAACCCCCCCCCCCTTTAGGTTTCAAACCAAGGTGCGGGGAGCAGGGTGCTTCTACGTGAGCTGAGCGGTGGCCCTGGTGCCCTGGCTCCCCGCCCCTCGGGCCAGGTGGGCCACCAGGCGCAGCTGGCAGCTGGGCGGCCGGGCAGTCCCCGCGGCCGGCCTTCCGGTGCGTCCCTCTTCTCTTCTACTTCCCCTCCTCCGGAGTCACGCGTGTCAGGGCTGGAGGGAGGCCCGGCCGTCTCTCTCCTCGTGTGTGTGTGTGTGATTGGAGTGGTGTGTATTTCTTTTCTAGTGCTTGGTCTGATGATAGCTGTGCTCTTACCTCGAGTCAGCAGCACCTGGAGCCCCAAGTGCGCGACACTTGGTTCCGCTTCCTACCGAGGCGAGCAGCCCGGCGTTGGCGGTAGGCGGGGACGGCACTGGCGGCTCCAGGGTGAGGGCCCAATGGGCAGATGCTTGCCTGGATAGGTGGGGTGTAGATATGTGGCATATAGAGATATATATTTTATAATGGGAGGGGGGATGGCACCTCCTGGGACCGGCAGGGCTGGGAGGTGTGCTGTCAAGCACATGGTCCCAAGTTCGCATCCCTAGAAACACAGCGCCTATGGTCGTAGGCGCTATATAAATACATAGATAGGGTCATGTATAAGAAATATTCTGTAGTGGGGGGCGGGGGGGGCGGGGGCTCAGGGTGCTGAGCCCCGGGCCCCACCGCGGCCAGAAGCCCCACGCCAATCAGTCCCACACGCATACACAGGAACATTTCTGTCCCAACGCATAAGGAGCGCACTCACCCGCGCGGCCGGGGCGCCCGGCGGCTCTCCCCAGGATTCAGGACTTTGTGGAGTCGGCCCTGCAGCTCCTTACCTCTGTTGCCCTGATTGCAGGTAGACTGTCAATCCCAGAAGTTGCTAGGTGCTGAAGGCAGGACGAGGAGGAGGTTTTATTTTAGCAGGTGCTCTCCTCTCGCAGGTAGCGTTCTCTCTCTTTTGCCCCTGGTGATGTCAAAAGATTCTTCTGTTAGCAACTGTGATACTGACCTGCAACTCGAGGCACCAGTAAAGTCAGCCCTCAACTCCCCCTACCTATTCTCCCCCCGCCGAAGTAAAATTGACATCCAGGTCTGTCTTGGCCAAGGGGCTTCCATTCAAAAAAAAAAAAAAATGGGACAGTGAACTTCATGTTTGGAATAAAGCAAATTAGTAATTGGTGATCAAATTAAACCGAGGCTTTCAATCCCTTGCTCAATTGCTCAGGAGTAAGCTCCCAGCCAGTAGCCAGTCTTCTGGTCCTTTTAGGGGTGCTTGGTTCTGGACCCCAATCTCATTTCCTTGTCAGATTGGCTTTGAAGATCACACCCAGCTGCTTCCTGCCAGCTCTGTGAGGTGGTGGCTGGTGGTGACGGTGGACCTCCAAGGGGGCTGGAGCAGCTAGGAAGGGGGATAGCTTTGCCCCTCCCACTCTGGAGTCCCTGCATGTAACTGGTGCTCACCCCGTCGTCCCCTGGTGCTCCAGCCAGCTCCATCTCCCTGGCCTGGAGACCACCAGCACCGCTGTCGGAGGGCTGAGGGGAGGAGGGCTGTTGCGGGCAGTCCAAGGTGCTCCCTCCCCCGCTGGCCAGCACTCAGGTCTTCCCAGCTCCCAGTGCCAGGACAGTGTGGGCCTTCCTCCGCAAACACTTCCAGCATCTCGGGCTCTCCTAGGCCTTTGTCCCCTGCTTATGTGAAGGAGTTCGCTTTTCCCAGTGGCCCAAGCCCCGCCTGAGGGGTGGTATGGGAAGAATCTTGGTAGCCAAGGACGTGGCAAGCCTGAGGCTTAGCGTGGGCCGGCCAGCTTGCTTAGAGGAGGTGCGTTGTGGCTGATCCTTAAGAGCACCAGCTCTCCCAGCCTAGCAAGCTGACCAGGCCCCAGCATGGGCTAGGTGCCCCTCACAGGGTTGAACGTAAATAATCACCAGCTTTTCTTCCAGTGACCTGTGGGGTCAGTCCCACAGTAGAACTTGGTGGGTGCAGGGGCCCTTGGGACAGCGCCCTCTTGGCCATGCCAGGTTACTCTTAATCCACTTCCGACCCCAAGGGGATCGGAAGCTTCATTTTCAGGAAGCTTCTGGGGGCAGGGACAGGGCTGCCTTCCAAAGGGGTGCTGCGCCCCAACAGGCAGGGCGCTGGAGGGTTACGGTGGGGATCCTCATACTCGCATGGATGCGGCTGTGGGAGGAGGCCGTGGGACAGGAGAAACCAGAGGCCTAGGGAAAATTCTGAAGTGTGTCCCCAGTGAGATTCTCTTTCTCGGGAAGAGCCACTTATCCCCGAAAGCAAGGGCTTCTAAGAGACTGAAGGTGATGCCTCCCTGCTCACTGCAGGTGCCAGGTGCGGTGTGGTGCCAAAGAGGTCTGGGAGGTGGCAGGGGCTCCGGCCAGGGCCACAGGGCCCTTGGTCGCCCGCCTGGGGAGGGAGCTGGTCTCCGGCAGGCAGCTGCTGAGCCCCGTGGGCCTCAGGCGGGTTGGTGCTGACCCTTTTCCCCGTGGATCTGACTTCAGGATCTGGCAGGTGGTGGAAGTGTGTTACTGCCTGTTGTCGTCTCCAGACCCCAGAACCTTCTTGCTGTTGGACATCCTGTTAGCACCCTTTGCAGAAGAGCTTCTGGGACAGGCCTGGGAGTGGCTGGCTGGTGGAGATGCCCGTGTGAGTTCTGGTGGGCCGCTGAGGTGCAGATTGGGTCGGGCGGACCCAGTGTGGAGGAAGAGGGTTGGACGTGGAACTAGTCTGACGAGGCTCCCCACGCTTCCTGCTCAGCCGGCCCTTCCAGGGGAGCCTGGACGGGAGTGAGCTGCATTATATAAGTAAATGTGAAGTGACCCTGGAGGCGGTGTTGAAGTCCTGTCGCTGTCTTGCTTGGTGCAGAGCCGCTGTGGTGCTGGTGTCTTTCAGAGGGCTCATTTTCAGGAAGCTGACAGAGCGCCCCCCCCCCCCCCCCCCCCCGCCAGCTGCTGGCCCGAGGTCTGCAGAGGGCAGGCTGTTTTCTTGGTCAGGGGGCAGCCGAGTCAAGGTTCTCCTGGTGAGACCTGAGCTTCCAGCCCGGTCCGTTTCCCTCCCAGAGGTGAGGACTCTGAGTCTGTCATCGGGCATCGTCTAGTCTGGTTGCTCCCCAGCCCAGGGATTAGACGAGACCCTGGAGTTGCCCTGCCCTCTGGCAGGAAGCAGCTGAGGCTGCTCTGCCCCACCACAGGCTGGGCAGGGTGCAGTGGAGGGCTGGCCTGGAATGAGCCTGGGGCGGCCCTCCGGCCGTTTGCTGCCGAGGCAGGGATTGGCTACAGGCGTTTGGAGGATCTGGGAAGAAAGGATAGATAGGGATGGACCCCACGGTGCTTGCAGAAGCTCTCGGCGCTTCTGGTAAAGGAAGGCTGGGTCTTGGGGACACGGGGGCAGCCCATCCCGCACCTGTGTGTTGCAGAGACCCAGCTGAGGTGGCCTTTGGTTGATGACCTCTCGGTCACCGCGGACTCGAGGCGGTGGAGTTTGGGGGAGGGGCACAGAGCAGGTTGGAAGCAGTGAAGACAAGGGCAGAAGGCCCCTTTCCCATGGGCGACCGGCTGAATCGCCCAAACAGAGGCCCACAGACTCCCGTAACTGGAAAAGTCCCCCCACGTGCTCCCCCGCGGGCCGTGAGAGGCCGGCTTCCTCACTCCCCAGCCTAGCGGCCGCCAGCCCCAACCCTGGGCAGATGAACAGGGGTCGAAAGCCTCACCTTAGTCCCATTTCATGTCCCACACTGATTCGGTTGCACAGCCCTAGAATTCAACAAAACAAACAAACAACAAAAATGCCGAAATTCCTTAGAATACGCAGAGGGAGGAGGTGACTCAACAAGGTGCTAAAACATTTTATTAAAAATATATATTGTTAAATTAAGTCTGCTGTCTGGACAATGACTGTTTGTTTTGTTTTCTTGTAGTGGAGTTTAAAAGAGACTATTATTTTACTCTGATATATTATTATTAAAAAGGCATTTTAACTTTGTACTTGAAAACTAAATGAGCGATTTCATGTGTTTTAGCTGAGGCATTGAAGTAGCGGGTGCTTACTTATTTGTGGGAAATCATGTATCCATACTGAAGAATAAACTCCGTAGCTGATTTGGTAATACCTTTTACTGTTACAGCCGACTGCGCTTTGACCCCATTGGCAGAGCACTTTCACTCCACATTCCACGCAGCTAAACGCAGGACTTCCTCCGGACCCTCCCCTCCCCCCCTCCCCCGCCCTCTTCCCTGTCTCTTCAGTTCCTCTTTCTTCCTTTTATTATTATTATTTTTTTCCTGGTTCCAGCATCCTTTCACCACTGTATTTTTTTTAGGGTTGCTTCTCTATTTATTGACAATAATAATGTACATTTCACAGTCTGGTTCTGGGACACCCCGGGAGGGGCGCGTGCGGGAGGGGGGTCGCCCAGCGGGTCCCCGCCCCAGCCCCCCGGCCCCCTGGCGTTCTGTTGTATCTCTGTGTAAGTGATGCTCGTGACATAGCTGTTTATGAAATAATTAAAGAGGTCCATGCGTGCAGCCGATGTAGAAAGTCTGTCAGTTCCGCCTTCATCACATTTTTTTGTGCCCAGAAGAATATAATAAAGCTCCTTTCTAATGTACTTGTGCTGGAGAACACTTGAATAAATGGACTGTTTTTGTGCAAAAAGAAAAATGGAAAAAGCACCGTCATAATGTCCTTTTGTCTTGCGTCTCCTCCCCCCTCCCGCCCCCCCCGGACTGCTCACAGCTTCTCCAGAGGGTTAAATTCTAGCGCTGGGTGCAGACAGTGTCCGCCCTCCCTCTCCAACATCACCTGCCTGGACATTAAGTAAGGACTGTAACCCGGGTGAAAAAAAAAAAAAAAGGACGGTGTAGGTTCATTTGAAGCGCAAAGATGAGCTCGAGCGAGACAAGTTTGCTAGAAAAGCGCATTCTGTCCTGGCTGAGCAATACACGTTTTCAGACGCAAGCCGGGAGAGGAGAGGGCCTCGTGCCCGCGTCTCGGTTGGACAAGCTGGTGGGCTTTCAGTTTCTCCAGCACACGAGGTGGTAGTCTGGGCCTTGCCGGACGCTGGAACTGAGCGAGAGCGGCACTGGGTCTACAGGAAGTCAGGGGATGTTTGCAAACACTTCACAGGGCAAGCCCGAGGGCCCGGGACTGTTCCGAGAGGTTCCACGGGGCGAACCAGGCAGCAGGAGTCGGCCTGCTCCAGGCCTGCGTTGGCAAGGTTCTTTTGCACCCGGGGCCAGCAGTGCGAGGGGCTGCGCGGAGTGCGGTGAAGGCCCGGTCAGCTAAGAGATGCTGGACAGCCCTTGGGGTTACTGCTGGCCCCCGCGAGGCCCAGGTCTGTGCTCCCCTCGCTGCCCGGCCCTCCCCGGAGCTATTCTGCAAGCGCGCGGTGCCTTGTGGCTTCAGGAGCCCCTTCATGCCCCGTGTCCCCTTCGTCCTCCTGGTTCTTTGCCTGACGGTCCTAGTTCCCTGTCCCCACCATCTGAGTGACCGAATCCAAACACACAGACACTGTGGTAACGCTCCCCCCCCCCACGCCCCTCGACCCCATCTCTAAGACCCCTGGCGTTGCGTGTTGTATCCTGACTGCCAAGCAGAGCCGGTCAACGGTGCCGGCCCTTCGCGGAGGGTTATGGGAGGCTCGTTCCCTCCGCGAGACTCGGGGGAGGTTCCGGGGTTGCTGGCAGCCTTGAAGGGCGTATGGGGAAATTTTGAGAAAAAGTAACAGGCTTTTTTTTCATGGGCACTTTTCTTTACAAAATTGTAAATGTACATTTAACTTTTATCCGAATTTTTTTCACAATATTTTTCAGTGTTGATGTAGAATTTTTTTTTTAATGGCCGCATTGCACTTTCTCATTGGATGTTTGTTTCTCTATATATGCATTTTATTTTAGCTATAAATAGAGCTGCAATAAATATCTTTGTGTTGGCGTTTGCCCCTATATTTTGTATTTTTTCCTAAGGATACATTCCCAGAAATGAGACTGACTGGGACAAAGTAGGTGAACATTTTGGTTGGTTCCCGACACATTTGCCTGACTTTCTCCGAAGGTCAAGTTCAGAAGAAACCAAATGTAGCCTTTAGTTTGGTCCCAGTGGGAAAGTGAAAGCTTAAGACTTGAGGGGGGGGGGGGCGGGCGGGGCCGGGAGAGGGTGGTGCTGGTGGTGAGCAAGAAATAGAAGCAACATAATTTGGCCACTAAATTTTGAAACTTATCTCACCAGGCGCACCTGCCTGGGGGAAGCCTGGTAGGAGATGGAATTCAGAAGGAAGCTTCGAGGCTCCAGCTTAGGGCTCAGCAGAAATGGGCGCCCTGGAGTCCGGAAACAGGGAGGCATCTGAGCTGAGGACACAGAGCTGCGGGGGCCATGTCATTAATAAAACCTGCTGTGGACTTCCCGGATGTAAACAAGGCACCCTTCGGTGGTGGAGAGGGAGGGAGAGACAGGGCAGGGTCCCGCAGGGCAGGCGTCAAGGGCAGCTGGGAAGTGACAGGGTCCACAGCCCGCCGAGGCCGCCCAGGTGGGCAGTCCCAGCCCCAGCGAAGACCCGGGCGGGGAAGAGACGCCACACTCCACCAGGGCCACCCTGTGGGTTCAAGAGCAACTTCCTTGGGTTTCTCAAGGACAGCTCGGCGGGTGTGGAGTGGAATCGAGGAGGGAGGGGGGCAAACACCGACTGGGTGCGGGGGGACAGGGAGGCTGATGGCGTGCATGGCAGGGCCAGAGGTGGCCTCATGGGCAGTGGGCAGGCGTCATGCCGGGGGGCTGTGGGTGTTGGATGAGGGGCCGCGGGGAGGGGAAGAAAGTGTATGTTGGAGATGGGGGCACAGAGAAGTCACAGCCAAGGGGGTCGGGGCCCCCCTGGGCTGGTCTGGCTTCACCCCAAAGAGCCCTTCCTCCTCCTGTCCAGCACACTCTGAAAGGCCCCGGTCCTCTCACCACAGCGGCCCCTTCTCCTCCTCTCTGCCGGGGTTCCTTCGGGGTGCAGCTGAGTTGAAAGGAAAGTCCCTGAAGATGGGGGGGTGGGTACGGGTCGTCAAGGCCTCTTAGGAGTGGACAACGAAACCAGGCGTTTTCAGAGCGGGGTGCAAGTCTCGGTCAGCCCTTATTTTCAGCCCGGAAGTCCCCGGTGTCCCAACTGTGTCAGAAGAAAGTCCACAGCACCTGGAACTCGCAGACCCAAACCCCGTGTGACCTTGGGCAGGCTTTGCTGAGCCTCTGTCCTCTCATTTGGAAACCCGGGTTTTGTTCTCTTGACACCCATGTGACCTCTGGTGCTCTGTGTGGGCGTAGTGACTGGGTCTCGTGGGGGCAGGAGCGCTGCCTGTGGGGACACCACCCCAGGGCCCTTGCTGAGCTCGGGGCTTTGGCCGAAGTTGGTGCACTTGGTTTGAAGGAGGGAACTTCGGGGCCTCTGGGGAGGCCTTGGCCCTGTACAAGGCTGTCACTCAGCCGGGGAAAGAGGAACACACCCCACCTCTCACTGTGTGCTCATCCTTTGCCGGCCTTGACTTGACCCCTGTAACAGCAACCTGAACCTTACTGATCGCCTAGGAGCTGGTGGCCCACTGTGAGGACTTCTGTTCCTCCCTGGGCTTTCTCCCCGTTTTTGACAGTTCTGCTTTCTCACTATTGGTTCAACTCCCACCTCCCAG